AAGGGAGAGGCCTCAAATGGATATAATACCATAGAGTCCACCTTCCAAACCAGCCATTTTCTCCAGGGTGACAAATCTCTGTTGTCTGGAGTTCAGTTGTAATTCTGGAAGATCTCCAGGTCCCAACTGGAGGCTGGAAACCCTAGGCCTGGAAGCACTTTCTGTGTGACTTGATACCAACCAACCTGCATGACTCAACTAGGCCTGGCGGCTTGCTACTATTCAACAGCAGCCACCCTATGAAAGCCAATGCGGTGCAGCAGTTAGAGCTTCAAAGTAGGGTCTGGGAGACCCAGGTTCAAATCCCCATCTTGCTGTGGAAGCTCACTGGGTGATTTTGGACCAGTCACTTTCAGCCTAACCTACCCCAGTGGGTGCTGTGCAGATAAAAAGGAGGGGAGGAGAATAACGTCAGCTGATTTGATCCCACTGTGGAGGAAGGTGGGACCTCAGAGGGATATAATGCCATAGATCCCATTTTCCAAAACAACTATTTTTGCCATGTGAACTAGTGTTGCCAACCTCCAGGTGAGGGCTGGAGATCACCCAGCATTACCACTGCTGTCTGGATCAGTTCTCCATGAGAAAAGGGCTGCTTTGGAGGGTGGATTCTATGGCATTATACCCTGCTGAGGTCGTTTCCCTCCCCAAACCTTGCCCTCCCAAGGCTCCACCACCAAATCTCTGATATTTGCCATCTTGTTTACTGTCTATTATACGATTGCTTGAATGTTTATAATTTTAAAATCTGCTTGTTACATTTATTGTTATCAAATTCTGTTGTGGGCTGTCCTGAGCCCTTTTGGGATAGGGCAGGATATAAAACCAATAAATAAATAAATACAATTCCCCAACTTGGAGTTGGCAACTTGAAGGAGAACTGATCCATGTAGTTAGGAGATCCATTGTGATTCCAAGAGATCTCCAGGTTGGCAACACTAGAAGAAGAAGCAGGAAAAGGAGAGAGACTACGGGGGCTTTCAGGAAAGGCCCTACCATGCAAGTGGGCCTGGCCCAGTGGCCAGCACCGCACAACTTGGCCATAGTTTTCTTAAGCAGAGGTTGCTGGGGGAGAGACCTGAAGACAAAGAGGCAGATAAATGTAGGTTGGCTATTATATGAAAAGGTGAGAAGAAAGGAAGATGCTATGGGAGCTTTCAGGAAAGGAAAAGAGGAAATAGTGGGGGAGGGGGAAATGAGATGCCTCCCGCAAATCCTTGCGGGTTCCCACTTGTATCTGTCTATACTAATCTTCAGGTGTTGGAATTGTAGTGGGGGTTCTCCTGATACTTTACTGCGATTCCATTCTATACATGTATTTTCTGCCAAAGTTAAAATTTTGAAGCGAGGTCACCCGTTATATGTCTATGACAAGTGACTGAGAGTGTTGAAACAGAAACCTCTAGTTTTGCTGTGCCTTCTTCCTAGGAAGAGCTGTTTCTAGCCATGACTGAGAGCACTTTTCATGCATCTAAAAGTATGTTTTATTGTTTAACTTAATGAGAAGTTTTGCTCAATCACACATATTTTGCTCCTTCAACAGTGCATACTTCTGGAGTAGGGCTCCACAAGCCCTAAGTCCTTCAGAACGTCTTCTATGAATCAATGAAGTACAACTCCAACTCCCTGAGAGTTCCCGCCTTTCACCGCTTCCTCAGCCCAGGTTCTTATTTCTTTAATATTCCATTTTAATTAATTCACAGAACCAAAGCAATTTACACAGGAATCGTAGGTCTCCCATCCAGGCACTAATCAGACTCAGATAGTTTCAGCAATGTACAGAATTTACTCAAATGCAAGACCAGGTTTTTTCACAGTGTACCATGAAAAAGAAGAAGGGGTCAATAATGTTTTTGTGCATATAACATTTTTAACAGGGTCATCTTACATTCAGGGTTGTCCTTTCAAGTAAGTGCAGTGGCTATATCATGTACCTTCCAGTGGCAATAATGAATGTATTCCTTTCTTAATAGATATGACTTGCTTCATAAGAAGGACATTCTCCTCAAACTTGTTATAATCTGAAGTTCACCTATATGTGCACTGGGGAGCCCTGAACATGAAACACCTCGCACACATCTGGTAAGACCCTAAGTGTTGCTTCAGACGGAAGTTTGTCTTTGTCTCTTTATGACAGTAGCAGACTCTGGCCCTGTTCATGCAAGCATATATGTGTTAATATTATGTAACATATAATGATACATTATTATATTATCAAGTATTAAATATTAGGGTTTTGTGATGATAGTTTGATCACACCAATTTGTAATAGTAATGATAGCAATTGAGCTGTTTCCACTCCCTATGGATGAACACTCAACCAAAGGCTCAAGCCCATAATAACAGATTTCACTATATGATATATAATTGTGAAATTGGATCCCAGGGCACACACAACACAATCCAGGAAAGAGACCAATAAATCAGGGGTAAGATGGCTCCTTTCTTTGGACATAAGGACAGGCAAGCCCAGGCCCAGAGTTCCACAACATGGTGCCTGCCAGTACTTCCTTCTCAGTACAAGCTTCTCAGAAAGTAGGCGGGGCCATTGTAAGGCAGAGCTTGTAACTGTCTGCCCTCATTCAAATGAAAGGGCTTTCCATGGCAGCCATAGCAGCTGCAGCCACTGGAGGATCAGGACTGGTAAGCACCTGGGCTCTTCTGAGTCAGCGTGTGGTTCAATGCCCTCTTCAGGCTTTCCTTTATTTTGTTTTATTTCCTCTTTTCTGAGAAGCAATCTATTTTCCACATGAAATTTTTCATTTTAAAACAGCCCCCCCAATAAAAGGGTTATTAATATGGGAAGACAGAGAGGTTTGAATTATGTGAATGTCAACAAGAATGTTTGCTAGTCAGAGTAGCCAGTCTGACCCTGGCAGCCCAATGGTCTTACTCAGTTATAAGGCTGCTTTACATGTTCATTGTGGAATAAGATGAGGCAGAGGGGGTGTGATCATGTAGCATTCGTGATCTGAATGACTGTTGCCATGCTCTTATTTTTCCCTCCAGCAGGAACAAAATGTTAAGGGCAAGTGGGGGGGG